AGTACTAACCTGTGAAGTTGGCGCCTTGATGCAGGTACCTCGAAGATGGAGCTGGAGCGATGGCGCCACAGGTAAGTACCACTGTCCTCCGCCAGTACCTCTCCCAACTCTACGCTCTATCTCCTACTAGCGCCCAGCGCTGATGACTACAGCTATGGCTATGGCGCCCAGCGCCGATGACTACAGCTAGCGCTACTACTACTGCCTAGCGCTGACGACTACTGCAGCACTCCTCCTGAGTGCTGCGGCCGAAATCTGAAGACTACTGTCCTACTCTCCAACTGCCTACCCGTTCAGTGCCCGAAGCTCCGATGTACTATCACGGGTGCCTCCTGGCTCGGGCGAGCAGTCCAGGAGGCTGCTCTTGCCAATAATGCCGAAGGGAGGCAGGGGCTGCAGCTGCAGCTCCTGCTCGTGCTCTTGCCAATAATGCCGAAGGGAGGCAGGGGCCGCAGCTGCAGCTCCTGCTCGTGCTCTCGCCAATAATGCCGCAGGGAGGCAGGGGCTGCAGCTGCAGCTCCTGCTCGAGCTGGCGTGGGAACAGGCCAGAAATAGCCTGTTCCGAAACCCAGTTTTCGTGCCTGAATCTTAGGGCAGGTCGAAACAAATGAGGGACTAAAAATAGCCCAGGGCCTAAGAATAGCCCTCCGTTTCAGGCTGGAAAAACACTGGGTCTGAAAGACCCAGAAATAGGCTGAAACGGAGTAGGGCCTGCAGGCCCTCGTTTTTCAGTTTTCAGGCTGAAACAACCGGGGCCTGTAGATCCTAAGTTTTAGGCTTTTAGGCTGAATGTCCAGGACGGGTCCTACAGGGCCCGTGTGGCCACGCAGTATGCCACACCACCCCTGCGCTTCACTGTAGTCCAAGCCCACCAGCTATGGTGGCTGGGCCATGGCGCTGCCCTCAGCAGCGCCCACCTCTGCACGACCGCACGTGCTGCACCTCGCCTCTCAGCGCTAGCAGCAGCCTACGAGCATGAACTCCAGCAGCGCTGCCGCCAGCATGCGAGTGCCTGAATGAGGCAGCTAGGGCCGAGCTTTTTCCTTTATGGAAAGAGTTGGCCTGCTCACGCAGCCTGGCTGCCCTGGCCTGGGCCCAGAAGCTTCTTGAAGGCCCCAGGAGGCTGCCTGGATGCAGCAGCTACTGGGCTGCTGGGCCTCGTTCGATTGGGTGCCCAACTGTCTCTGTATGAGGCTGCGAATCACGCCCAGGGCCTGCATTCTTTGGAAAGGCCCGGTAGGCCGTGGAAATGTCTTTGTTGCTCGGCCTGTGTTTCTTTCAACCAACTGGCGCGTCGCAACTGCCTGGACCCCAAATATGAAATTGACAGTCGAGGGCCTCTTGCAAAAAGCCAGGCCCGCCTTCACTTAGGGCGGGAAGGCTGGAAACAGGGCCCCATAGGCCTACTGAGGACCCTGATCCTCACACTAATCTTGTTGTAGCTATATGCTGTATATGGTAAACCAGCCAGGCGCCTGGACCTGCCCTAATATTATGGATAGGAACTTGCACAACAGAAATCATTATTATGGCACCTTAATTAGAAGCAGAAATTGGGATACCAATTGTTGTAGCTAAGGCGCAAAGCACAATTCCGAGTATCGGGTTACTATTGTAGCCTATCCCATTTTAACCTCGATCTGTGAAATCGTATTACGCCATATGTACTGATTTATTTTGGGTGACATGGTCCAAGCCTGGAATTGAATGGAGTTGTTGAATCTATTCTAATTACAATGTTTTTGGAGTCCGGAAGGAAGGTAATAGGTTCAAACAAGGAAGGGCTTACGGTGGATACCTAGGTACTCGGAGACAAAGAAGGGCGTAGTAAGTGATGAAATGCTTTGGGGAGTCGAAAACAGGCATAGATCCGGAGATTCCCGAATGGGGTAACCCCTTGTACTGCCGCTGAATCCATAGGCGGATAAGAGAGAACCTGGTGAACTGAAACATCTTAGTAGCCAGAGGAAAAAAAGGCAAAAGCGATTCCCTGAGTAGTGGCGAGCGAAATGGGAGAAGCCTAAACCGTTTATTCAATAAGTAAGCGAGGTTATGGGAGAGTGTTTTTAAGTTGAAGTTTGCGAGATTAAACAGAAGCATGCCGGATGGATGGAATGGATGACTCTGAAACCCAAGGTTTCCTCAAAGGGAACAAGTTACAATATCCAGGATGGAGAGGTGGAGGGGCTCATATAATCAGTCCGGTGAAGGAAGGGGGAAAACGTGTCGAAATGGAATCTCAGCATGCCATGCTTTGGCAAGGGACAGCGCATAACTGTTCAGACAGAACGTAACTGGCATTGCAGTCAGAGGGAGGTTGCAAAAGCGCATGGAAGAGCGCTGCAACATCTCATTTGCGTAATGGGGGAGGGAGTGATGGGAGTCACAATAAGCTATTCATGATGGAAAGCTGGTCAGGTTCAGACGCAAGAAAGGTTGCAAGGTCTGGACCACATCAGGAGTGCTCTATTCGCAAAACTTGTGCAGAATGTGATGCTAGAGGATGGAGTTTTAGTGACATTGCAGCAATGAGATTCTGGGAATCAGCACTGCGGTAGGCTTGTCTTATGCATCCAGATGCATCCTGACAGAAATTGTATTTTTCTTATTACATGATTGCTTGCAGATTTGTTCACAATGATGGAGCAAGTTGCGGATGAGCTCACAAGTAGGATCATTCGGCTCCCTTTCGGCCACCTGTATGCAGCACAAGTGGAAGCCACAATTGTTGCAGCTCTTCAGACGTACGTTGTGGTACTTGAGAAGTTGTGTTTGCAGGAGCTTCCAGCTGAACAGGACGAAGCACATACAGGGGTGCTGACAAGCCTGTTCCGAATCAACACAGATAATAAGCCTGTCAATACTGCGCCACTATCCATCACAAAGTCTCTATGCATCAAGGTTATTGCCCATGCTCCTTGTGCGCAGCATGCTTGCCCTCTCACACTTTGCTGGCTTTCGTGGAAATAATCTCTTGCTTCTGGTGGGTCAGCCGTGGGAAGCAGACCCTACATTGTTCTTGTTACGTCATGGTCAATGCTTGTGAATGTGTGTGGGATCTCTTTTGTGGTTTTCTTTTGGCAGTACCTCTATTTTCACGTTGGAATGAACGCAGAGCTCTTAACTTTCGGTCCTTGTAACTGAACCTTGTTCTACTCTCCCTAATCTGTCCACTTACGGTTGCCTCCAGTCAATGGCATAGCAAACCCACAATCCACCCTGTTAAGAAGGCACTATCGCACAGCATAAATCAATGCCGGACGACAGGGTGATTGACCTGCCATCATCGACTCATGTGTGGTTATCAAACAACAGGGGATGTGAACACTAACGGATAGTGGACGGTTGTCATCAGCATTGAAGATCAGCACAAAGAAGACCAAGAAACATCGGCAGAGAATGGTGCTGCATATGCAGCATACCTCTGTGCTCCTGTCCTTATCAGAAGACGTTGATATTGAAGAGATCTTGTGGCACCCACCACGTAGTGGGCACCTAAGAGTAAATACTGGCAGTGGTTAAGGAAGCCAGTCGAAGGCTACTAAAACACCGGATACAAACGGATGATAATTTAAACGCAAGAAGACTTCCCAGCCAATTCTTATCAGTTGATCATAACGATATCGTGGAAATGCTTCACGAACCCAAATATACAAAAACAGAAAGCCTTCGGCCATTATAGTGAACCAAATTGAGCCCAGAATCCAGAAAAAAATAGCCATATTCATAAACCCAAAAATAAAAGAGTACATAAACTACTAGGATCCTTACATCCAGACAGCCATGCAGACTGTCTGGGCGTCCAACGTTTGGGCGCTGGATGTGCAGTTGCCCTGTCTGAGTTAAGACCTGATAGAAACTGTAGATTTCCTCATAATGACATAATCAGAATTTCAGAAAAAATAACAAATGAAATGGGGGGACAAAAAAGTGCTCGATAAGTGCAATACGGCAGATTGCGAACTCAGTCTCGAGGGGGAGAACATGATTTTTTATTTCTTTTTCAAAATTTCTCCACTCCACCGTGTGGTGTTGTTGGGCCACATCAAATCTGAACATCTGGGCCGAGGCCTCAGCGACAGCAGGCTTATCTAAGACTGTATTCGGTGTCACCCATGCCCACACGGTGACTTCTTGTAGCGAGGTTAAACCACCACTACCCCCGCCGTCAAAAATTCAGGAGGACCGGTAGGCCAAATTGTGGATTCTGCTTTTGGCCTACCGGTAGCTGTGTGGTGGTCCCGCCACCGCCTCAGGTCTCCCCAGTTGTCCCAGGGTGGGGGGGGACGCAGCACCCGAAAAGGTTGCAGCCTCTCTAGCAGTTCGTTATCCTGTGGGGGTTTGTTACCTTTTCTTTTGCACGGAAGTCCGT